AAAATATGTAAATACTAAAATAAGACTCGCTTCAATTAATAACTGGTGTGAATTATGATTAACACATGTATTGAACGGCAACCTACGAGCCCAGGTAAGCTTAATTGCAGTTATCTTATGTTAGACTGTCAGTTATGTGTTGTGGGCTTGTGAGTGAAGAGGTTTTTAATTTTCTAAATACTAATTATATATATATTGAAGAAGAATAAGCCAAAACTGCATCCAAAAAAGTTTTAAATAGCATGGCTACAGAATTCTATATTTTCCAAATGGATTAAAGAGGTAAAAGAAGACAATACTAAGGCCTTGTGTAAAGTATGTAATGTAAAATTATGAGCTCATGCTGGTGATTTAAATAAACGTGCTTCATCCTCCACACATGTAAAAAATAGTAAATTAATAGATTTACATTCAAAAAGTGATCTAAAAGAACTTTTTTCACATAAAAACAAAATAAACAAATTTGAATTAAAGTTAGCAGCATTTGTAGTTTGTCATGCAAGTGTATCTAGTATTGATCATTTAGGTGAGCTGATTAAACAAGAAACTCCATTATTGTCAAAAGCAATTGATTTGCAATTACAAAGAACAAAATGCACGGCTCTTATTAAGAGTGTCATAACTCCTGCTATATTTGCAGACCAAGTTGAAGAAATAATTAATAGCAAATTTTCCCTTATTAAAGATGAATCTACAGATATTGCTTGTGCAAAACATTTGTCTTTGTATTAGATCAACGGTTCCCAACCTTTTTCGGGTGGCGACCCCTTTTTATAAAAGCCAAGTGTCCCGCAATCCCGATATAATTGAAAAAGACATTTTTAATAAGGTAATTAAAAAAACAACGAAATTAGTTTTTTATTAGTATAATAGCGAGGTTGGGCCGAAGTTTCAAACGCAAAAACGTGTACATCAGACGTTCAGCGCCACTTTCCTGTAAGCCTAGAAGTTTAACAATGATGTTTGGAATGTCCAGCATTATTCCACTGACATTTTTTTAACTCTCCGCCCTGTGGGNCAGACCAAGTTGAAGAAATAATTAATAGCAAATTTTCCCTTATTAAAGATGAATCTACAGATATTGCTTGTGCAAAACATTTGTCTTTGTATTAGATACTATAGTGAAAGAAAAAATAAAGTTATTTCTGATTTTCTTGGATTAATTCCTGTAACAATAACAACAGCTGAAGCACTTCATGATATTGTAAAAAGTTCTTTAGTGATATAGGTATTGATATTAAAAATTGTTTTGTTCTTGCAATAGATGGAGCTTCTAATCTTTGTGGAGTTAATAAATCATTATACACTTTGATGAAACAAGATAATCCAGACCTTATTTTTGTTAGGTGCATTTAGCTTGTTCACACGCATCCGGAGAGTTGCCTTCTAATATTGACTACTTAATGAGAGAGACCTATAACTGGTTTAGTAAATCAGCTCTTTGAAATGAGAAATACATGGAAATATATAGACTTATACATGATGGCGAGGATCCCCTGAAAATAATACCATTATTGCGGACTCGTTGGCTAGCTAGAAGTACATGTGCAGGAAGGATTCTCCATCAGTGGGATGCTTTAAAATTACATTTTCAGATGGTTTCATCTAGATCTGATAGGTATTATGCCAGGGAATTATGTAAAATGTACACTGATGAAACCAATAGACTTTATTTCACCTTTTTGAGGCCTGTCTTAAGTGAATTTGAAAAAATTTGATCTTTCAAAAAGAAATGGCAGATCATTTTAGAATACTTGATGAATTATGCAGCTTTACATTATCAATGCTAAGAAGAGTTTTGTTTTCTGAATTTGTAAAACTTGACATAGATTTAAATGATGATTCTCATTATCTGTCTAATGAAAAGTTTGATTTTGGCTATGAATTTTCAAACCTTTTGGTAAATAAAGTAACATCAAATGAAATTTCTTATGAACAAGCATTTATAGTTAAAGAAAGATGTTCAAACTTTTTAAATAGAGCCTGTAAAAAAGTTCTTACTAGCATACCTAAAAACATTGAATTACTTAACAAAATTAGAGTTTTATCTCCTAGTACAGTGGAACCCTGGTTAACGAACTTAATCCATTCCGCGACTCCATTCGTTAACTGAATTGTTCGTTAACTGAAGCAATTTTTCCCGTAGAAATTAAAGCAAATGCAATTAATCCGTTCTAGTCTTCAAAATTTTTGTGATTTTATTTGTAATATACAGTAATTTTCTTTGATGAAAATGTAGTATCTATCATTACAGCAACAAGCATGTAAACTTTGTTTAATAAAATAGCACTGTACATATCTTTGTTTGTTGTAGTTGGTGGCAGAAAAGTGGAGATATACAAACCTTAATGCTTAGAAGGGGAATCCCCTCCAAAAAAATAACGCTTAGCACTTCATCGGAAGATTCTTTGAGTCGAAGTCTCTTTCAGTAAAAAAAACCCACCAGTGGCTAAGTGGTCTTCATACCTTGAACATGGGGAGTTCGTTTGTGGGTTCACACCTTGCTCAGACGGGCTGGCCACGTGGAGTTTTCTGGGTTTTCTCCACGTTTGTAACGCCTAAATAGGGGCCAGTTTCCCTTAAAAACACCTCCCAGAAGGCATTCCCCCTAGGCAGATCGCCCAAGTGTTGCATTGCCATAACTTAACAAACAAACAAACACTTTCCGTAAGGAACAAGAAATTGATCTAAAGTTGATCGTCTTACTCTTTTAATCAAAATTTTTCTCAAATGAGATGCATTGTCGTTTATATTGCGTTGTCATTTTTTATTGCCACTATGACTTTTTTCTTTCTTGGATGCCATATTGATTAAATATAAAAATCACAAAATTGAAAAAAGAAGTATAACAGAAACACTCGGAAAAACAATGCTTAACTCGCGCATGCTTAACACCAACTAAAATTTCACACAAAATACTGTTACATTCGTTATCCGAGACAAAATTTTTGCAAAATAAAAGTTCGTTAACCAATTTGGTCGTTAACCAGGATGTTCGTTAACTGGGGTTCCACTGTATTTGCTTAAGTCCTACTTGTCCTCCATTTTCAACTCTTTCCCTAGCTCTGGCTGATCAATCCAAAATTGAAGAAATAGAGAGTCAATGGCGGCATCTATTGACAGTAGACTGGACAAGTATTTTTTTAGGTAATGTTCCAACTGATACATCAGAGTTTTGGTGCAAAGTCTCAACTATAAAAAATGCTGTAGGAGATCTTACATTTTTTGAAATATCGAAGTTTGCATTGTGTTTATGTTCCTTGCCAATTAGCAATGCCACAGTGGAAAGAGTTTTCTCTACGGTGACCTCAGTCAAAACCAAATTAAGAAACAGAAGGAGTTTGAATCTTCTAGCATCAATTTTGAGGATAAAATGTTTCTTCAAAAATGAAAATATATGCTGCTTTAACTTTAATCCAACCAATACCATGCTAAATTTTGACTCAAAAATTAATGAAAAAGAAGCAAGTGAAATAGGAGATGACAATTTTTTAAATTCTTTAAACTTTTAATTTTTAAAGGTAAGTGCACTTTTCTTATAAAATTTGAGTAATTTTGTTTTATTTTATGTTACTTCTGCATTAAGCTACTTTTTAAGATTGACTGGGCTACTTTCTTTTAAAAAATCTGGCATCACTGTTTATGTGTGTTTTTGCTGGCAGCACTGGCACTTTTGTGTGATGTTTTTCTGAGGAATGTGTGTCAGGCTGAATCGAATGTTTTTGATACTAGATTAACTTTTAAAATATAATTTTTTTTGTTTTTATAATTTCTAATATATTTAAAAAAATAAAGAAATAATTTTTAACAATACAATAGTCACGATTATTATTTTAAAAAGTTTACATTAGGCTTAACATCAATGAAAATTCAACGCGAAGCGACATGCAATGGAGAAAAATTTCAACATGGGATAGGTTAATATATTTTTTTGTACATAATCGGTTATCCAAAAAATAAGTTATCCAAACAGCCTCAGTCCCCAATTGATTCGGATAAACGATGCTCTACTGTACTGTATAATAAAATAAAAATTATATATCCTGGTTACACACCATCAACTTCAGCATTTTAAACATAGTTATCAGTATCTCCACCACATGTGTATTGCTTTCATGCTTTGTAGTAAGTTCCTTTTTCACAATAAATCATTGATAATATGACTTTCTTCTTAGGCTTCATTGTTTCCACACACTCATATGCCATGGTTAATAGGTAGGGGTTATATATTTAACCAAACACACCAAAAATAAGGTGAAAAAAAAGCACTGAAAACATACTACAAGAGTAATGCAAGAGATGCTTTCACAGTAAGGGTGATAAACAACTTGGGCGCAAAACAAATGTAGTAAAAAAATGTAGTGTATGCATTTTTTTACTGCATGTGCAGTTCAAACTCCAGATCAAATTTCTCTTGAATTTAGTATTTGAACTCTGGATCATTTGAAATTTGAGGTACCACTATAATGCAATACTATGTACTTCTGCTAAAGTAGAATATAGAAGTACCATTAGTTTATATTGTGTCATTTTTGGAGATTACTCATTTTGGAAATAGACTTTTCAATTGATACTCTGCATCTATCCATGTAATGAGATCAAACTTGTATCCATCCTTCCGACTTGCCCTGTAAAATCAGTCTTATCATTTATTTACAGTAAATTTTAAAATAATATACATAACTATTACTGAATTACACAATATCCATACTTTCATTTGGTGTATATTGGATTATTCCAAAATAACTTTCATATTTCATTAGAACCATAAATATATTATGTATTTTGAAATATTCATATGACAATTCATACAAAATGATGACATAAATGGTTCTACTTTTCAAAGCAATTAAAAATCAGGATTAGTTCTGTTTAATTCAGTTTTTTTTATATATGAAAATAATATAATAGCTTCTGAAAATGATTCTGCAGCATTATTCTTTTCATCAATGCAGGATAGCTAGACCTATAATGAAATATTTCCTTAACTATATATATACTTATGTGGAAAAACAGAATCAACTTATGTAGCCAAAGAGACACCAATGATAATGTATGCTAATATACATGCAGCATTTGAACAGATGAGATTGAAAGCAGAAGAAGAAGATACAAAAGGACCAACAGTAAGTGAAGTTTTTATGTTGTTTGCTATTTTTATGACTTTTTCCCTAGAAAATGTTAATTTTATCATTACTAAAACTAAACATTTTTTAAAAATAAACAATTATCTTCAAGTATTTATCTCACAAAACACTACTTTATTGAAGAACTCAACTAGAACACTAAAAAGAAAAACAACTCAGTATTTTCCAACTGGCATATTACAAAATGATTCAAAGTGTGTCATGAGATGAATGAAAATATTTTAATTTCTTTTTCTAGCAACAATTTCAAAATTTTTACAAAAATAATGAGTGTGTTTCTATGTGTTATCAACAATATTTCAGAAGTTTGTTCCAATAAACTGTCAGAAAAACTATTAGAGGTTTGTGATTGACCGAGTCCTGTAGTAATTATTAATAAAGTGTGCTACAACCTTTGCTTGATTGTTTAAGTGTGCTGTCAATCTGAAAAGGTTGGGAACCACTGTTTTAAATACAGAGTAGATCTAAAATTATATATATAATGTTAATAGTTTGTTTTATTGCTATGTTGGTGGATACATCATAAAACAAGCTGTCTTGAAATTAGAAGGTAATAAAAAGCTTGGAATGAGGCTTGAACTTGTTTTTTCTGGGTATTTCTAAACTGAATGAAATGAATAATAAAGAAAAATCTGAAAATTGATTGATTTTTGTGTGTTGCATATTAATATAATAGCAGTATTGAACATTAATTTTTTATATGACTTTGATTTTCTAGGTGTTAATTGTAGGTCCAACAGATGTCGGAAAAAGTACATTGTGTAGAATTATTCTTAATTTTGCAGTAAGAATTGGCAGAAGACCCATTTTTGTTGATTTGGATGTTGGACAGGTTGCAAATATATTATTATTATTATTATTATTATAAAAGTATTATTAATTAATCTTTCTGTACATGTTAAATGCTTTAGGGTCAAATATCTATTCCTGGGACAATTGGTAAAATATATTTTATTTAAATATTATTAAATTCCTGTGTTCATTACTGAAAAATTAATTAAATGGATGGATAATTTCAGGGGCCTTATTAGTTGAACGCCCAGCAGATGTTGAAGAAGGTTTTTCTCAACAGGCTCCATTAGTTTACCATTATGGACATAAAAGTCCTGGAAGTAATATTGTCTTATATAATACACTAGTATCAAGATTAGCAGAAGTAATTAACTTACGTGCAGAAAGTAATAAAAAAGGTGAAACTTGCTATCAATTATTTTTCATTAATATAAATAAAATTTAATTTTTACAGTTTTGTTTTAAGAATGAATACTTTCTAAGTGTTTTTTAATAAACACTTCCTAATCAAATGTTTAAAAAGCAGTAAATAAATTGATAAATGCTTCTGACTCAGCTTATGTTTTCCATTCACAGCATAGAATTTGATTTTTATCAATTCTTTTCTATTATATAATTAATAAATTGCAAAATGTTTTTAGTTTTTAAAGAGTCATGCAAATCTAAAATGATTGATATATAGAAATAAATTTTTTTACCTAAGAATTCAAAAGACAAAAAAATTTATCTAAATAACTCCTCTCCCCTCAGAGTTACAGAGATTTTATCAGAATTGGAAAATTTGCCTTTTCACATTTCTGAAATCTTTCATTCTTCTAAACACTAGAATTTGTCTTTCCTTAAAAGAAGATACATATCACAGTTTAACAAAGCTTGAATTTTAACATACCTAGGACAAATTGTGCAACATATGTTTCCAGAGAAGCAGGCCAAGGCTCTTATTGTTTCTACATTTATTCATCTTTTGAAAAATTTTATTTTGTTTTATTCTTATCATTAAACTAATGAAAGTGTATGTAATAATGTTCATAAGTGATTTTTGAATGATAAATGGTAGATTTTTGTTAAAATAAATGGTGGAAATGATGATAACATATATTGAAATAAACTGCCTGAAATGTTTTCGATATGCTCTGAACTGAAAATTTCATAAAAACAATGTTTTTGGGAAATGAGAACATTACTGGAAAAGCATTGTATCTGACTCTAGGTAATATATATTTTATTCAAAAGTAAATAAATAATTAAATAAGTTTATTGATTTAGCAAATTGCTTTTACAAGGGGGTAAATAAAAATATTATTACAGTAGTTTTAGTGAATGTACAAAAAAATTATGCAATTGATATAGTGTGGTCATACAGGAAGATTCTTTCAATAAATTGGTATAATTGTAATCAATCCCAAAAATATTAGATCTTATTTCACAAAGAGAATCACAACTCCTGAACAAGTGATTGACCATCATCACTACCATCATTTTACAGAATGAATATTCAGTATTATTTGATATGTTAATTCTTTTGCCATTTAGAGTAATTGTATAAGTAAATTCAGTGATAAATTTACAGCGAGAGCTGGTCTACCTAGTTCCATCTTTATTGCGGCCCCAGGCACAGAACAATTTAGACAAAAAAATTTACTTGAAAAAGAATAGTTGTATTTTTTCCACTTTATCAATCACCAATCTCCCCCATATTGGAAATGCAAATAAAATGCCTGATCTTATTAACACATCAAATAATCTACAATAGTTATTAAGTGATGATTCTTTCATTTTGACAAGTAATTTATAAAGATTTGAGATATTTTTCCTTAGCCTTGATTATCACTTTTTCCAAATGAAAAGAAAGGAACAGTGAGGGGTAAAATAAATTCCCAAATATTTAAAATTTGAAACAACTTCCAACTTCTGTTTCTCTAAATACATTTTATCTGATTTTATAAATTTACCTGCTTTGCAAAAAATCATTATTTTTGTCTTTTCCAAGTTAACTATTAAATAATTATTGTGACAATATTCTTGAAATATATGTAATCTCTCTTGTAGAGCCATGACTGAATTTGCCATCAAAAGAACATCGTCTGCATATAAAAGACAATTTATATTTATATAGCACCCTATGTAAATATAAATTGTGTTTTATATGTAGAGGATTGCAATTGCAGAAGTTTGGCCATGTAAAGAATTCAGAAGGTCAGTTAGAAAAAGGATAAAAAGAAATAGGTTTAAGGGTTCTCCTTGAGATAATCCTTTGTTAAATGAAAGGAAATCTGTACAAAAAGAAGATTCTTCTATTGAATAATGAGTATTAGAAAACAGATTTTTTAGTAGATTGGTAAACTTTGTTGAAAGACCTATATGTTCTATTAGGTCAGTCCATAAGTTCGTGCGCATTTTTATCTACAAAAAAAGCAACAAAATATTTTAACTAAATTTTATTTCAATCTATAATGTATTCACCATTATTTTGTACAATTTCTTGCCATCTTGATGGTAGCTTTTTAATCCCGTCTTTGTAAAATGATTTCGGTTTTGAATCAAAATATTCAGAAATAGCCTTTTTTACATTGTTCTCATCCTCAAAAGTTTTTCCTTTTAAAAAATTCTGCAAACTCCGAAAAAGATGATAATCACTGAGAGCAATATCTGGCAAATATGGTGGATGAGGTAAAATTTCCTAGTTGAAGCTTTTGAGTTGAGCAGTTGACGTTGTTGTCAGTTAGCTATTGACAGTTCATGTGGTATCCATTTTCCTAGCTTTGAAACTTTTCCGATTTGTTGTAGATGTCTATGAACAGTTCCATGGGATGAATTTAAACGTTCTGCAATTTCATCAACTGTTAAAGATGGTTCTGCTTCAACTAGTGCAGAGAGAGCATCATCATCATCAAAGTCAACGGGTCTTCCAGTCCGAGCCTTATCCTCCACACTAAAATCATTATTTCTAAATCTTTTAAACCACTTCTGCGCAGTCCTTACACTAATTACAGTTTGATTATGAACAGTATTTAATTTTTTGGCTTCATTTGTAGCATTCTCACCACTTAAAAATAAAAAGTATAAAACATGTCTCTTATATTCATCTGTTACTTCCATTTTAACGAAAATAAACAACTGAAATGTTCCCAATTCTGAACAGTATTATATGAATAAGATCCAATTTAACACTTCAGTGTAAAAAGTATCACATTAGACTGGCATTTTTAACACCAAAACAAGATTTTTCTCAAAGTCATAAAATGCACAGGAACTTATGGACTGACCTGATAATTTGAACTATAATATGTCATGATCTATAGAATTGAAAGCTTTTTTTAAATCTATGAAACATGCATACAGGTTTTTTCATTTTCTTGATAGTGTTAGTTGAACAATTTCATTTAAAATAAACAAGTCAAATTCAACACCTCTGTTCTTGATGTAAGCTCCTTGATAAGGATGATAATATACACTTCCATTCAAAGTTTAAGACTGTTTGTTAGTATGGACAAAAACTCTTTCCTTAATATGTTGATTAAAGCTATTGGACAATAATTAGTTGGTAACAATCTACTTCCTTTTTTATATAGCATTTTTAAACAGATTTGTTTTCAAGTAGTAGGAAATTTGCCATAAGTTTTAAATAAATTAAACATATTTAAAGTGTTGTTTAATATTTGTTTGGAAGACATTTAATCATTTCATTCTTGATTTTATTTGAACCAGGTGATTTGCAAACTTTTTATTTCCTTACTGTGTATTCTGAGATATTGGATCGTCTATAAGAGGGATATTTCTAACTGAAAGGCTATTTAAAATAATAACTGTGTGAGGCCCTGAGAAATGTAATTACAAAAAATCAAACCAAATCTCACTTGAGATTATATTTACAATATTTCTTCTTATTCTGAACTTATTTACCAATGACCAAAATTCTTTTGTATTAAAATAAAATAAAATAACTTACTGGAATATAAATACTTAAAATAATCAAACACCTTAGTATTTCCAGCAACGAAGTATTTAATAAAAATAATAATGTTTTCGACTATTTTTAATAATCTTCTTCAGTTAAGCCACTTTAAAACAAAAACGAACGTAAAATAGAACACAAGCAATTGCTGGAAATACTAAGGTGTTTGATTATTTAAATCTTTTGTATTTTTTGTATGTTGTAATTGTAGCTTAATTTTGGCTTGAAGTAACTTTTTCTTAGTTTTGCACAATGACTTATAACTTTTGTTTAACTTGCAATACTCTTCTAACAGATCTCTTGATTTATTTTTGTTGAATCTTCTTAATAAACTATTTTTTTCTTTTTAACTACAAATAATCCAAATCAAACCATTGTTTATCAAATGGCTTTAATAAACTATTCATTCTCAACACTTTGAGTTGCTGAAACCAATAGTATTTCTAAGAATTCTGAATAAAAATTTCACACATCTAATAAAAACCTCATCTTCAGTAATTTAGGTAATGAGGTGACTGACGAAACATATTTATCAAGCTTATCCTGTATATCAAGTTAAAACATAATTAATTAAACATAATCAAATTAAAACATATCAAGTTTCCTGTAGTTTACATGTCTCTATTTTACTCATGTTGAAATTAAATATTGCAGAAATAGGAAAATGATCTGAACTGAATTTGTCCAACATTTTAAAGTTTTTCAAGTTGTTTTGCAGATTAACATTTAATGCTACCAAGTCTATTACCAACATACCATTTGAAGAAATATAAGTGAAATTTGCAGGATAGTCATTTGTGCAGTGGTTGTTTAATATATGTAATCTGTATAATTTGATCAATTGTAAATAATTTTTCCTCTACGGTTGCATACCATGTTGTTAGATTTACAAGAATTTAAAACTTGAATGTTAGGGCCATAATAGCCAGGAAAGTTATGCAACTAGTTGCTGCAGTTTTTAATATTTTTAATGAATCTTTTTTAATAACACAATTATGGTATACACAGGGTTTAGTTTCTGCTGAGTTGTCTAGATTTATTTTATTGCATTAATGTGCTCTTTAAATCTAAAGATTGGTGATGTAACGAATATTCGGTTACTATTCGGTATTCGGCCTATTTTTCGCTATTCGGCCGAATACCGAATATTTAATCACTATTTGGCTGAATACCGAATACCTAAAAACAGGAGTAAGAAATAACAAAAACACAGTAAATTAATCATTTTGGTATTTAGATTTAATGTTATCGGGTTAGTTGTTTGTTTATATTTATTTACTAGCTGCAAGGACCCGCTTCGCTGGGTTTTTATTTGTGGGCAAAAAGTAATGATAGTGAAGATTAAGATAATTACATTATAGCCGATCTTACCCATTTTCACAGAATGCAAGAACTAGGTCCCCCGTTTCCAGACTAATTAGAGAATTTTTATGTCCAGTCAAACGAACTATTTTCAATTTCATCAATTTTCTGGAACGTTTACAATCATTCTATAATCGAACCAATTCAAATTCGAATACAAATTCGAATTCAAAAATTTTTTAAATCAAAATAGAAAATCTTCCACTTTCAACCACTTTCAAGCCCATATCTCCTGCACCCTTATAGCTATCGAGATGCAACCACCATAGTGCACGAATGGAGACTTGGGGCTACTATCACATACAAACACCATTCATGTGCGATGTGTAGTTTTGGCTGAAATGTGAAATATAGGGACACACACGTCCATTTATATATATATATATATATATATAGTTAACTTATAATACGCACAAAATAAAAAAGAACATATTAGTCACTCATATTCACAATTTATAATTACAAAGATCAGTACACGTACACACCTATTCGTTTGAGAATCGTTGCACATCTGAGGGTCTGACCCTGCCTATCCATCTTTTTAAGCCTTCGTCTTTGCTCTTCACTTTCTCTTTCCTTTATCGCTCTAGTCCACGTATGCCTACGCATACATCATAATACGCCCTCACGATACTTTCGATTCGTCACTTTTCCGTCGTAGATTTCCCATTTTACAATTACGTGACTCATAGCCTGGTGATAACGGAGAAAAGACAGATAGGACGTCGGTATAAGTCACAGTTATGATTTCACAGATTGGAAACAGCTTGGTAGTCCGAACGACCCCAGGCTTTCGCCCATGCGCGCTAAGTGACTTTCATTACAAGCATTTAGCTTTCCGAAGTGAATGACAACAATTGTTTGGCATTCATGGCCGCGAATTTTGGGCCAATAAGCTGCCTCGACTTGTTCGATTATGTTATCAACTCAATTTCATATTTATTTTCACATTTTCACTTTGCTGTCCTTCTCTGTTCTTCTTCCGTTATTTACACGTGTAGGTCATTTCATTGTTATTCACATTTGATATCATCACTTATCACATACTGCTATGACGCTCTTGTCTGAACTGTCAAGAATTAACTGTCACTGTCACTACGCTTCGCGATTGGCGAAGCGTAGTGACATTGGGCCAGTAGAGAGCAGGGTCCTTGCCATAATGCGGTTTGTGTGCCAATTTTCATACGTGCATTAATCAAGCCAAATAGTTTGGCCGAATTTTCGGCTATTAGGCCACGCTCCTGGCCGAATATTCGGTATTTGGTCTGAGGCCGAATATACTATTCGTTGCAACACTACTAAAGATTTAACAACATTTATAATCTTTGAAGATATTTATACTGTATACAAAATAAAATGTCTGTATGAATATAAAAAGGAAGGCAACTATGATTGTTAACAGATAGAATGTGTTATTTAAGTATGTATTAAATTTATTTTAAATTATTGTAATCATTAATCATGTTTGTAATGAAAACCAATTATATTTTATACTCCTGTAAACTACAATTTGTAACAAGCATGGCTGAAAAGGGACAGATAGATTGTCCAAAATGCATACCATCATTATAATAAACCAATGTTCACCCATTTCTGTGTGATTTCTTGAGCTGCATCAATAGTATGTGATAAGACTTCCATAGAGCCAAAACTTAGTTCTCACATATTCAATTATTGTAATATAAGGACAAAAAGCAATCACTAAATAGATTTTTTTTCTTTAAATGATGCCAAAAGATGCACCCCAACTTAAGGAAGCTGCTTTTGTATCAAACTCAATTTCGTCAATTTGTTAGATACAATATTTTCCTGTGCAAGGGGTCATTTGTGTATTATATTTTCATATGGACAAAATGACAAAAAGTCTCTACTTTTGGCTTAATTTGAGTGCATATGCCACTATGCCATTAAGGCCATCAAAAAACTTGCTATTTTTCCAACATGTTGCTATGATTGTAATAAGGGATAGCAGAGACAATGTGTGGGAATTTGATTGGGCTGCAGGGAAAAAATGTGGAAACCTTGACATAGCTTCCTCATTCTGCTTTATTGGTAAATAACTGGAAATGGTTTGGCATGCACTCATTTCATGGTTTCATTAAGCAATCCACAGTGGATTTAGATATTGCTTTATCTGCCTTTGGGTTGCCTTAGTTATAATGCATTTGTTATATTATTTTAAAATTTTTTATTTGGTATTAATAACCAGTTAAATTTTTTTAGCAAGCGTCAGTGGTGTAATCATCAATACCTGTGGTTGGGTGAAAGAAGAAGGTTATAAAGCAATATGCCATACTGCTCTTGCATTTGAAGGTATGTATAAGTTACACAAATAAATTACACAAAATCAAATAAAAACTACCCATCCAGCAGATGAACATATTAGGACATTATTTCTGTTTTATGAGATGACAAGTTCAAATCCCACTTTGGGCACAGATATTTATGTTTATTGGATTTTAATGTGGATTTTTCTTTAGAGGTACTTTAAAATCACTAAGGTAAGTGGTGGGACATTGCTTGTGACATTTTAACAAAATTAAAAGCAACTGCTATTTAAGCATTATATGTTGTTATTTTTTTATATTTGTAGTAAAATGTTTGGTTTCAAATAATTTGTTTTTCTCGATTGGTTTTATTCTGTTAATAAAAAATATTGTTTATTATTTTTAAAATTGATGGTGTTACCATTTTAAAAACAACAAAAATGCAAAAACCATTTCTTTTAAAATGAATTGTAAGAGACAGTTTTAAAAATTAGCCGTGTATTTCTCATGTATCACTCATACAAATCAAATATTATTGTAAAGAATGGAATACTTTATATTTATTATTAAATATTTAATTCTAGAAATTGTCATTTCTGCATCTACATACTATATAAGGACCCATTTAAATAAGGTTCTTTATCATGCAAAGAAAATGTAAAAGAGTACTTTGTTAACAAAGACAAAAGAACATTATAGAATACAGTTCATTTTATATATCTTGGGTGGGTATAGACTTATGGGACTCAAATGTTTTAAAAACATTTAGAGCCCCATGACTTTGTGACTTCTTGTAACATTACAAATGTTTAGAAAAGTTTAAAGAAATTTTAATTATATTTATAAACACATCTCACAATATGCAGATGATGATAGACCATGCCTCGACAACCTATGACCCGTGGGTCACCAAGTGACCCATTTCATAATTTCAAGTGACCCACTTGAGTTCCGAAAACAAAATATAATACGGTATATAAAAATAAATTATAAAACATAAATATGAAATGAACACTTGAAGAATACATAAAAAAATTAATTGAATATAAATAATAACTAACATTTTTGTATGATTACAAAGTTGCAGTAATGAACATGCATTTTTATTTTTTAAATATAAAAATTGTAACATAATTTCAAGAAGAAATCGATAAGTTTGGCAATGCCGATTCATAATTCCTTGACAGACATTTAACACTGGTGAGACTGTTTTAAAATGAAAATACCACTGACCCGAAACATCTTAATACATACATTTTGGTTGATTTTGACCCAAAGCCAAAAAAGGTTGCTGACCCCTGTGATAGACTGTGCTTTGCTCTAGATCAGTCTTTTCTTCCACAAATTTCTAAATTAGTTTATTTAATTCAAAATTAACTATCATTAGGCTAAGTTGTATAATTTGATTATTATAGACCATAAATAATCCAATAATAAGATATTTGGTTAAATAAATAAATTCATTTTTTTATCATTTTCCATGAATGAGCTGTTAAAAATATAATATTTTATAAAAAGAAAAAAGTATGCAAATGTGAAGTGTTGAATGTACTTATTTTTTATTTTTATTCCAGTTGATGTTATTTTAGTTTTGGATCAAGAAAGATTATATAGTGAACTATTTAGAGACATGCCACATTTTGTGAAAGTTGTTTTAGTTCCAAAGTCTGGTGGTGTAAGTACATTTTTAAAAATTTTGTAGATTTTTTTAAGCACACACAGTTTTTCATGTAAGTGTAACAACCATATAGTCTACATATTGGTTTATATATATATATATAAACCAATATGAAGACTTTATATATATCTTAGTTAATGAAAAATTTGATACTATAAATATTTTTATATCACTTTTAAAATTTTAAACATTGTTTTTCTTAAAAATTTCTTAAATTTTCTAAATATTAAAAATTCTCAGTCACAGTCTTCAATAAACGTCGAACATTTTCTAATGAAAATGGCATTTATTTATTTCTACAAGATGATGAATACATTTTAAAATTAAAAATTAATTACAAATGTGGATCAAATTTAAAACAAAAAGTTATTTGAATGAGTGTCAACACCAGAATTAACTTGAGTTTAAAAAATTTAACTCAGAGAATAAAATTTACAGATAACTTGGTCTCAAATTTTTAAATTTTCTGAATATGTGATTTTTAATCAATAATAATAATTATTTTAAATTTAGCATATTTAATCATATTATCATATATATGTACTGTACATACTGTATATACAGTAGAGGCCAAATTAATCATATTATCATATATATGTACTGTACATACTGTATATACAGTATGTACAGTACATATATATGATAATATATATGTACTGTACATACTGTATATACAGTATGTACAGTACATATATACATATGTATTAAGATTTAATCTTTATCTTAATACATATGTATATATGTACTGTACTGTACATACTGTATATACAGTAGAGGCCAAAAGTAGAGCTACCCTTGACATATGTTTTAAAAATGCAACCTCTATTTTGTTCACCATCTACTACATAATTAATATTGTGATATTTGAAAACACCACAAAAAAAAGAGTCAAAACACTCAATTGAATCAAACAGATTTTATTTTAAATCTGATTCACAAAAGAAAAAAATGAATTGTTGAATTTCAAATGGTAGCTGTATTACGTATTATATAGGTAAATGTCTCTTCAATCCGAACAAAATTTCGGTAGACTTTCTCACAGCTCTACAGGTTAAAAATCTCCTTTATTGTTTTTCACATATGCATTTCGGGCAAGTTTTATTTTTCCTGCCCCTCTTCAGTGCTACAAAACAAATTCATATTGAATTTGAATGTGGTGAAGTGTTTTTAAATATATGGGACCATTGTTTCTGCCAAAAAGTCACTTAGACCACAAAAAACAACACTACAGTTGGATCATTTGATCAGGCATATGAGTTCAGCTAACCGTTATTTGACTGTTTAACATATTAAACATGAAGTGGGTAACCCAGATATAAGCTTAAGGACTGTACGAAGATGTTTGACTAGTTTTGGATTACATGGTAGATGACCAACAAAGAAACCACTCATCTCTGCAAAAGACAAAAAGTTGAGATTAAAGTTTGCACATGAACACATCATTTGGACCGAACAAAAATGGTTCAAGGTGTTATGGAGTGATGAATATAAATTCAATGTCTTCTCTAGTGATGGTATATGATATCAGATGACCAGTGAACATGGGATATGACCCAAAATACATAGTTCCTATAATAAAGCATGGTGGTGGCTGCATAATGGTATGGAGATGTTTCTCTGCAACGGTATTTGGTCCAATTCATACAATTACAGTAGAGCATCGATTATCCGACTCAATTGGGGACTGGGGTTGGTCGGATAATTGAAAAGTCGGATAACCGAAAAGTATGAAAAAATTTATTATTGTCATTTCTGCATCTACATACTATATAAGGA